TGGGGATTTTTTTGGGTGCTATAGCATAATTGAATCATATATACATATATATATATATATATATATATATATATATATATATATACACACACACACACACATACATTTATACATACATACATACATATACATACACATACAAATATACATACATACACACACACACATATATAAATATATATATGTTTTCTTAAGTTTTCGCGGGTACTTACATGTATGATATTCAGCTTTGTTCGGGTATTTTCGCATGTCATTGTAGTTGTGCTTTTAAAGTTGTAGCAACATTTCGGCAGAATTATATATATATATATAAAGTTTGCCAACTATTAGTCACTTTAGATTAAAGTCAGAATCACTTAATCCCAGGATTATAATCATTATAATGTGGGGAGATTATATTCATAAAAAAACCTGAGCACAGAGAAATCCCACTTCATACTATCAAAGAATTTCCAACATATCTTTGCTTCCTTGCTATTGGTTTTTGTTTTCAAGAATAGGAAAATTTGCCATGTGCCGCTTGCTTTTGAATATTAATAAAACTAGAATATTTTTCAGAAACAAATAGATGAGCTAACCACATAACAGGACAAAAATAGAAGCCCAATAGCTTCAATATGACATTTAGGCTGGGTAGGCTTAGCAGCTGTAGCATTTCATGCTAATCCCATTGCAAATCAATTTGCTCTTTGGTCATTTGCTATGACTCAGTTTCAAACAACCGAAGTCCAATTTGATAAAGTTAAGCAAAGAAGCAAAATTTATTCTTGTTTCAGAAACTGAAGTCAAATAGAACTGGGAAAAGAAAAATTCCCACTCAACAGTGAAGCTTTGTCAATAAGAATTATTACTGATGGAGGTTCCTAAACAATTGAATGTATCCTGTACAATTCCAACCACATATTTACCAATTAGGTCCTCTAGAAAATAAATCTTGATTTGAAAATCTCTACATAATGGTAAAACAATGCTTTTCATTATGGAGTGAATTTAACTCTGTTAAATGAAATCCAGAGTTAAACACTTAAGCAAATAGTTAGCCACAAAAAATAAATAAATAGCCATCTTCTACCTCTTTTGACCCTTGGCATCCTTTGACCGAGATAACCGAGGTCCAGCTGTTGCACGGAGACCACCTCTTCGAAATTCAACCAAACCTAGATCGTCTCCAGGGAAATTTCCAGATTGAGTTCGACGTATCCTTTTATGGAGTTGTTAAAAATGACAAGTCATCAGAAATTCAAACACAGGCAGCAAACTTTACATACCAATACCTGAATTTTTAATGTCAGGTATATGGCAGTTTCTAATGTTTCTTCAGGTGGATTCATTAATCTATTACGTTGCTTCTGTTTCCTGGATTTTCCTTTTACATTTTGTTTTATTATGTGATTTTTTTATCAGTTATTACTGATGTGTGCTGAGCATATAAATCAATATAAAAAAATAAATAATCAAGATAGAGAGGGGGAAAAAAGCACACTTACTTTCCCCATATTTTTTTAATTCCTTTTGGACTTTTTTTATTGTCTGGAGATAACGGAGACTGTGCACCTGAATCTGTTCCAGATGACAAGGGTGAAAGTTCCTCTGAAGTTGTGTTGTCCATGTGGCCGGGGGCTCCTGTGAAATATAAAGGATATCTATGAACTTCCAGAAGCCCAAAGTATAAATCACTCAGAGCTGCTCATATATATTTGGTGACATTGAAAAAATAAAAGCCTGCATCCTCTGCAATGTATAAACTGGTGTTCTATGGGTAGAAAAAATAATTGTACATAATTTATTTGGTGTATAGTCATGTTGGCCATGGAAATGTTTTCCCACAATGTTGGCTCCCGCAGAAATGGACATGAGCACTGCCCCCTAGAGTCCAACACAACTGGATAAGGGAAACCTATAACTTTACCGTTACCTAATTTGTAACACTGAATGGATAGCTGAAGGCTTCACTGATCGTATTATAAATTGAACAGGGTGTCCCATGATGGATATTGGTAATTATAGCCTGATTTGTAACATGGATGCAAAATATATATTTTCAAATGAACAGACTTCTCTATGGCATGGAATAGCCAAAATGTTTTCCCATAAGCTATGTTTTGCATGGCTTAATGGCAAAAATAAGATGCATTTTAAATATTTTTCCCAAACATGTTTTCTTTTGAAGTACTAAATACAGATTTCAAGGATGTTCAGCATCCATTAAAAACCACAGAATCCCCCGTATTGCTCTCTAAACATACGTCTTGTACTATTAGGACCATATGTGGTTTTCACTTGCTGGATCAGAAATCACAATTAAAAAAGGCAACTCCCTGCAATTTGTATTTTCAATAAAGGTATTTATTTCTATCATAAATGTGGCATGTTGGTTAGGTATACAATACCTAATACTGGTGCACTGACACTCCTGATGCGATCTTCACTCATTCCAAGAAGCAGAAAGCCATATGAAGAAGCAAAGATGATGTAAAATTGAAGCAAAACAAAGTTAAAGAGAAGCAGAGAAAGCAAACAGACGAAAGAAGAAAAATAAAAAACATAGACAGGAGGCCAAAATAGAAAAGCAGATGAACTTGAATGCTCAGGAGCAGTGTGCACTATGCATAGATGAAAAACTTTTACTGTGAGAAATACACAATTTAAAAAAAATCCTCATACTGAATACTAAGGCAGTACAAAGAATAAATCAAAACATGTTATTATTCTAATTTAGAATCCAAACTGTTCATAGCAAAATGTGTTAGAAACAAATCATGCTGATCTTCTATGCTCAGCTATCAGTTTTATTTATAAAGAGAGGTCAAAGATCTTTTTTCCCCAAGGAGAATCTATACATTTCAAAAGGACTGTTTACTATTTCAACAGTTCTGGGTTTTTGAGTGTCTCCATACTGTAAATGAAAAGCAGCAGCAGGTCCCTGTGGCCTACTTCTTAGGAATTCAACCATTAAGTCATGCAACTTATTTACATGCACCAGTTAAATTTGTGACCAGCTTCAGCTGACATGATAGCAATAGCACTTAGACTTTTATACCACTTCACAGTGCTTTACAGCCCTCTCTAAGTGGTTTACAGAGTCAGCATATTGCCCCCAACAATCTGGGTCCTCATTTTATCCTTCTTGGAAGGATGGAAGGCTGAGTCAACCTTCAGCCTGGTGAGATTTGAACTGCCAAATTGTAGTCATCTGGCAGTCAGCAGAAGTAGCCTGCAGTACTGCACTCTCACCACTACGCCACTATTCAAAAAGACAGCAATTCAAAAAGTGCAATAGCTTTACAACAACATGTAGGCAGTGTATTAAATAATGACAAATTAAGACTGATGGAACTAAAGTAATACAAGTAAATAATGGAAGTTACCTTTCCTGGGCCTACACTGTCATTCACATCACTGCCTTGGTCTGACAGTGGTTTATTATAATCATGAACAGAGGTCGTGATACAGAGGTGTCCACAAGGTTTTTAATGTGTGCCACGTATCACATTGTTGTGGCTGCCATTGTGACTTTTCTGTACACACCCCTGCAGTTGTTCATTTCCAGCCTTTGCAGTGGATGTAACAATTCAGTGTCCACAAAACTCTTCCCAGATGAATAGATACTCAGGCTAATTATATTTTAGGGCCATCATTAACTAACTATGCAGCTAACAGTTCTGAATTCAGAGAATCAGGAAATCCAACTTTCTATAGTGTAGGAGCCATATTGATGGAAATTAAGATTAATTATTCTTATAACATATTATTCTGACCAGTCCAAATTTTGCTCTGTGGCATTTTAAAAATATTTTTAAACCATACACAAATGCACACAGACAGCAAGTGCATTGTTGTTTCCATAGTACATACTCAGACTCTGTATGCCGTTGTCCTCATTGCCATTTATACAACATGGAGTAGCAGGTGTATTGTACAGATGGTTATCTCCGTTGTGTGCTGCTCGAGGAAGTTTCCCTGGCAAGGTTTGGTACTTGCTGCTTTTTACGTGAGATTTATTCTGTGTAGGTTACAATTTTTTTTTAATGAAAAGAGAAAAATAATTAAGTCAACGTCTTAGTCTAAACTAAGCTACATTCGTTTTGGTCAGAAGCTATCAGCATTTGTCTTCTGAGAAGTAAAAATATTTGGCCAATATAGAAATTCTCACTGTGGTCAAATGTTCTCTACTATTGTGGAGGGATGTGAGTTTCTGGATTAAAGAATGTATGAGAGAGCAGGATTTGACAGCTAAAAATAGAGTAATGAAGGCAGTGGTAGAGAACTTTGGCACATATATATGTTTACATGCCACATATCAATATTGATAGTAATTATTTTATCTTAATTTATCCTTGTATGCTGCTTGTTGAATCACTATTTATATTATTTAAAGAAAATAAATACCACCATCCATGTGATATCTGGAACAGATGCACCATGGATGCCCCTAATTTATCTGACACTTGATAGCTCTTCCAATATACCCAACTCTGTGCCGAATAGTCATGGATAGCTTTTATGGCCCATTTAACTATTCTCACTGTTGAGTAGCCAGTACATTTTTTACAAACACCTAATTTTTATCATTTATAGATTAAGAAAGCTAGGGGTAATGTGTTAATATTTAGTACACAAGCACTTTGACATAACGTTATCCTATTATTCCCATTCATCAGCCTTAGAAAATGTTAATTTTAAGCCTTAACTTAAAATATTTATTTTTCAAAAAGTAAAAGTAAAAGCTTGGCTAAGTTGCACAGACTGCCTACATACAAAAATTCTTAAGCACACATTCCATGGTAACACAGTTAAGAAAATTATGCACAAAATAAAGAAATTGTTTTCAGAGTGTAAATGTTAAAATGGAGTTAATATACCTCTTCTTCTAGATCATGTTCTACTGGTTTCCCATCAACATGCTATGAAGTTGCAGGAAGGGCAATTTCAAAGTATGAGGGAGAGAAAGTAACAAACAAAATGTTAGTGTAGACATAAATGATGTGATATTTTAGTCCAGTCTATTGGATAACAATAATAGGTTTATTTTCTCCTCAATATGCAGTGTCCTGCTATACTGATATTGATGTGCATGTCATATCTCATAAGAGTACAGAGAAGAGCAACAAAAATGATAAGGGATCTGGAGGCTAAACTGTACGATGAATAGTTGAAGGAACTAGGTATGTCTACTCTATCAAAGAGAAGGACCAGAGGTGACACAGAAGCTGCCTTCCAATACGTAAGGGACTATCATAGAGAAGAAGGTGTTGTCCTATTCTCCAAAGCATTAGCAGACTGGACAAGAAGTGATGGGTGGAAGATCACTAAAGAGAGATCCAATCTAAAACTAAGGATAAATTTCCTGATAATGAAGATAATAAATCATGGAATGACTTCCCTTCAGAAACTGTGCATGCTCCACCATTTGAAGTTTTCAAGAAAAGATTGGACAATCATTTAGTATAAGATGTTATGCTCAAGCAGGAAATTAGAAGACCTCAAGGTCCCTTCCAACTTTTTATTCTATCTTCTAAGTCTAGCTTCTACCAAGTCAATGGAATCTGTTGCAGGGGTTGCTACAGACACTACACTTATTCCAGTCACCTTCCATTCATTGACTCACATCCATTCATTGACTGATCATTGACTCACAGAGAACAAACTTCAAAAGTTGGCTACTGCAGAAATCCATATATGTAGCACATGTTGGAAAATAGTAAAAATTACATTCACTCCAATCTCATAACTCCTCCATGAACACAATGCAAGATATACTAACTGTACTAATCAGCTTGTATTGTATCTGTAAATGGACTGAAAGACCTGCTGATTTCTCTTCAAAAGTGAGTGCAATACATTATTGCATTGAGGTTATACAGATTGAATTTAGCAATGTAAATTAGCACAGAGAATGTACAATCGAATGCATGAAAGTGATACAAATCTTCTGCTCCATCACTGTATTATACTAAAAATAGGAATAGAACAATCTGTTTATAGCAAATTGAGCTGCAAGTAGGAGAGACTGTATTCTAATCTCGTCTAACCCCTGGTTTGATTGGGGGGCTCTTTATATGTGCAAAGGATTATGTAGACACGAAAGTTGGCAGTTCAAGAACTGTTGGCATGTCAAGTATGCACATATCCAAATGTGCAAATTCAAAGAAAAATGTGCACTGCAGGAAAAATAGTTAATGGATGGCCAACAGTTTTATAAAACAAATTCTCACAAGTATGGAATCCTAGGGCTCCAGTATATGGTAAACTGGACGCTGCAAATGAAACAGAATCTGTAATATTCCTGATAAGCATTAACAAAACTGCCATTTCTGGCCTTAGGGTATGAGATCTCCCCTTCATGTTTTTGGCCAGCAGCTATTTCAGCTTCTGCCTAGGATCTATCTGCCAATTGCATGTAGTATCAACATAGTCTCTCACATCAGCGTTATATCAATCTCAATGTCTCACTATAAATCAATTACTTATATGCACATCCAAATTATACACCACAGAAGAACAAAGTAAAAATGCAAAAAAGGAGAAAATAAACCTTTGTATTATATGGTAATTGGGAAAGTTAGTTCTTCATTTGCTATGCATAAGAACACAAACTTATCAATGGAATTTGTAGATACAATGGAAAGCCCACAAATTAGCTATTAAGCTGATATATTACCTTCATGGTGAATAAATGAGTATAATTTGTTAGTTATGTACAATCAGATTATTTTTGATTTGGATTTTTATTGCATATGTTGTTCAGAATTTGCCAAATATAGATAGCTTCTTCCTGATGTGGATGATTTAGCAGATATGTATTTGACAGTACAGAGTGCAGTTTCTTTCGATCTCAATGTCAAGGCAACAATGGAAGTAAAATTATTCTGCTACATGAAACTTCTGTGGATTGAGCTTTATATCCAGCTTTATATACTTCCAATGCATATTTATTAGGCAAACATTGAAATATTGGAGCTAACCTTTTCCAGAGATTCACTTTGCAAGTCTTCTAGACTACTTGAAATTTTTTTCTGAGATATCCTTCAAAATATAATGGCAATAATTAGTGAAACCATATACATACCAAATCACATTGATGGCAGCAACAAGTATTTGACATTTATAAAATGCTCTCGCATAACCTGCAATCTTAAATTTGAATAATAAATACCACCAATAAAACTCTTAGCGGTTAAGACATGGGTGTGTCCATGTATATGCAAGTTGGCTAGAGCAAGTTCGGATTTTTAAATACAATAAGATGCTTGCATGATGTTAATATGAATATAATTTGTGATATACATTGTATATGTAAGACAGAAGTGTACTGGTTTTTGACAGGTACATTGGGAATATAAGAATCTTTTCCTTGCCATCCAAATGCCAGAACACACAGCCTTCAGGGAGACTGATTCGTTTATCAAAGGAAAACCAAACAGAATGTAAGCATAATAACTGAATTATTATTAGACTATATGAGATGCAAAGGAGGAAGAATGAATTGCACTTTATAGAACATATAAAGAAAACAACTAAATAAAGAATGAGTGAATAGGCTGAGAGAAAGGGGGAAACACAAAAGCTTTGGTTGATGGATTCAATAATATCCTCAAAAGGAGAAAATTTAGAAGTGATGCTTAAATTAGATCAACTTAAGATTCGTTTCCTTTTCTTTTCCTTACCACTTAATTTTATTTCTTTTATTCAGTATTACACTTCTTTGCTATACTTTTCATAATATAATCTACTTTGAAAGGTAACAGCATGATGTGTACAGTATGCATGAATGAATATATTGATAGAAAACCTCATTTAGATAAACTGGACAGCAAATTCCTACAGATGGACCAGAATACACTCAAAGATAGTTTGTTGTGGGAGCCAATGACAAATGGTGTCTGTTAAAATGACCTTGGTAATATCTTTAAAAAATAGTCACATATATTTTCTTACCTGTTTTGAAATTCCAGGGTTTCCCCATTTGTCAAAGTTAGTTTATTTGAGGGAACTGGAGAGCTTCCCCTGTTGATTGTAACAATATGGTATTATTTGAATTTGAATTTAATTTAAATATAATGTAAAGGGCAATCTTTTATTTAGTTTAACTCTATCTCAGGCTATTTACCTTTCCAAACATATATAAGTAGCCCCAAATTAACTATGAAAAATAAATTGTGTAGCAGAAATAGGATACTTTCAGCCATATCAATCAAGTAAGGAAAAAGTTAGCTCTTACCTGATTTCCAGTATTTTTTGTGGTGCAGGAAGGATTATAGGTGGGGCCAAGTCCCCTTGAGGTATCTATGTGAAAAGCATTTGAGTGTGGATTAACTTTCACTGAAAAAAGCGACAAATGAAGTGCATAATTGGAAGAAAGAATAAGCAAACCAACCTCTGGTTTATATTCTATTTGGGGTGCATGCATGTGGTTCCACTTTCTTAAGGTTGCTTCAAAATCAACTTCACCAGTACCAGATAAAACTCTTTCTGAGGTTCCTTGAAGGTACAAAATTTTAAAAATGTCAGTTAAAAGGATAAAAACCCACAATATTACTAAAGTCTAAATACCAATTGGCTGAATCAGCAAGAAAAGTTAAATAAAGTGGATTCGTTTAATGAACAATTCGTGATATATGTTGCTGATTGTTACATATTCTCTTTAACAACTACATAACATTTTCTAGAAAGGAAAAGATATGATTTTCCAAAGTAGAATTGAAAATGGTTAAAGGATTTTAAGAATGTGAGTTTAGTGTAGTAATTAAGGTGCTAGCTAGTAACCAGAAGACAGCTAAGTTCTAGTTCCACCATAGTCACGAAGCCTGCTGAGTGACCTTGGGCCAGTCACTCTCTCCATCAGCCCTAGGAAGAAGTTCATGGCAAACCACTTCCAAAAATCTTTACAAGATAACTGCAGGAACTAGTCCCAGGAAGTCATTTTTATATAAGGTATATAAAAATATAAACATAAAACAAATAGAGAAAATAAAATGATAAAGTATAAATAAATAAAGGATCTTTAAAAAAGGCCAAGGAAGTTATAATTTCCCAGTATATCATTAGTAAATTATGAATTATCAAATATTTTACCTTGGATAACTAAAAATCCTATTATGCTATGAACAAGAATTAATATCAAGAAACATGGCCAGTTCAATATAAGCCACCACATAACATTTAAAGTTATAGCTGACACTGTCAAAACTGAGAATCTGTCCTGCTTTAAGTGTCTTATGAAATTGAAATATGAACTCTGTGTATAGAACCCAATGACTAGATGGAGAAGATTGTGGTTTTGAAGTAATTAGATCTGAACTAATTATTGGCAATCATGAAAATACGGTTCGAGAGCTTTTGAACATATCAGCACCAAATGGCTAAATTACAAGGGTTCTCTTCTGTAACCCTAAAATGAGAGAACACATCTACTGTAAATAAGTTTAAACCTAGAGATCTGATGAAGTAATTCATTAATATTGGTTCATGTGGAATGATTATTACAAATACTAATTATTCAAGATAATTGAGCACCATTTGAACTATAGCTGGTGCAGAATGCAGCAACATGGGTAGTACCCCCCAAGAATGACTCCTGTAACACCTTGAGTTGCATTGGTTACCAGTCTGCTTTCAGGTGCAATTCAAGGTGATTACCTTTAAAACCCTTTATGGCATGGGTCCAGGTAACTTGAAGGATCGTCTCAGCCCACTGGGATTGGCCCATTCCACTCATGCCAGTAGAGGAAGCATGCTGTGGGTCCCATCAGCCCAATTATACTGGCTTGCAGGACTCAGGAAGAATCCTGTTCCTGCTGTAACATCTTGCCCCTCCCCCCCAATGTAAGGTTGGTCCCAACCCTCCTATCTTTCTGTAATGGCCTAGAGATGCGGCTTTGCCACTTGGCTTGGGGCCCCAGTGGGGAAACAGCGCAACTGAGATAGTTGAATAATAACAGATCCCACCTCCACCCACTCCACCCCTACCTTCCCCATATGTCTTTGGTTTTAATTGATTTTTAAAAAGTTTTTTATGTTTTAACTTAGATGTATCTGTAAGCCACCCAGAGTTACCCTATGGTAAGATGGGAGTCCAATAAATTCTGTAAATATATAAAATGCCTGATTAAATTAAATAAATATAGATACTGCAGTATTATAACACTGATGCATTTTGAAGATGTCTTAAAAGCATAATTACTCTTCATAAGTAGTTCTCTAGTATGTACTCATGGGAAGGCAAGGTAATTTTAATATTTTTTCAGTGTTGAGGAAACCAAATATAGAGTATTTCATAGTATAACAATATAGAAGAGGCATCTGGCTAAAAACAGTTTTCCCTCAAAATAACTAGATTCAAGGATCTCTGTTGAAGATACAGATGCCTTGTTTTTGGGGGAAAATATTCAGCGTTTCATGCCAAATAACAATATTTGGTAGATTTATTTAAGTAGAAGGAGGAGCTAGTCAAATTATATTTCAAGAGAAGTACTATAAGATATTGGATTGTATACTAGAGCATGAACATATATGTATGAATATGTGGAGGAGGGGGAGGAGAGAGAGAGAGATGGTATTGAAGTTATTTTTTATGTTGTTCCATTATAGTTTTACCCATAATAGCCAAAGATAGTTAACTATAGCAGATTGGATCACTGAATGTTTTGCGGTAAATAAGCTCTTTTAAAGATACATTACATCACTGGAAAATATAACCATGCACAATAAAATATTGCCCCTTACTATTTCTTTTACATATTATGTTTAGATAAATGGAGGCAAAGCCACAGAGAAGTTACTTTCTTGCAATTCTTCCTGTATTTTTTGCCTGCTCTGGGAAAAAAGCGTGCAATTTAACCCAACCTTCTTGCTAGACCTATCATTTAAGAAATATTAAAGGATTAGGCTTGGCATTAGCCTAATAATACTACAAGATGGGAAATCTGATGATTAAAGTAATTTCTGATGTCAAGTTATGTACCATGTCAGCAAGTATTAAACTGCAATACTATAATTATAGCTTCACTGAAACTATAATGCATCCATTGTACATTATTATAGCTAAATAGATTTAAAACTTATTATTTATTTAGATATGCAGCTTTTATTTTAAAGAAGGGAGAATAAATGTTCTGTATATACCAGTATGTTTCCCATTCTGACTAGATATCCACATAAAATGTCACAATTCCTGTATGGATTTAGAAAAGCCCAGTCACGAAGATAAGTGAACACACAGAAAATACATTAAGCATGAAAAGAAATCAGTTTTGATAATGAAGCAGGAATTATTTGAATACAATTTGCCATCCCATCCAACAAACTTTTCATGCTTAAGGACAACAGTTTGAAGAATGTAGACTGACGACCAAAAGCCAACTAATATTCTTTCAACCTTGATTTTTTTCTCCTCATTAGTTTTACGTTACTGTGGGAAAATTCATTATTAAATATTAATAATGTTTCCAAGGTCAAAATTATCACCACAGTAACTAAGCAATACTTTGAGCTCCCACACCTGGAGACTTTTGCATGCTGTACAAGTAAGTTAAGGTGACTGAGATCTCAAACAATGAAGCTTCCTGGAAAGCATAAATGGAATATTTGTTATGGTACAATGCTCTAAATTCCTGCACATGTGATAAGGATATGTATACACAGAATTCAAAACACATTACATTTATGCTACGCTCACCAATTTATCTTGCTGGCATTCTTTTCCCTTTTAATGATAGGGTTTTAAAAATATGTTCCAATGTAATGATTATACAACTTTTACTGTTATATTTTATAGTTATAGAATGAAAATGTTATCATTTCTTGACCTGAGAAAATGGAAAGGCATTTGTAGGCAGGCAAATGGTGATTTTTATCCCTATCTATTCCTTTTATGAAAAGGGTGATTTAATCCAAGTTTTTTTGCAGTCTTTCAAGCTGTACCTTGCTATTCAATTACTTCTGATTATTAGTGATTGTCTAGATTGTCTGTCAATAACTGTGTCAGCCTTGGAAGCCATTTTTTTACTTTTTTAGTTTTCATAAATTCAAGCTTGAGTCACCAGAGACAACATAAGACATGTCAGCCTAGTTTGATTGCCTTTGATTTTTCCAAGTATCACACTGTAGTACAGTATATTTAATTTACAGCTGTACCATTAGTCCTCCCAATAAATAGTCTGATTTTATCACAATTAGTATTGAAAAATTGGTTGTTGCAATCCAAATTATTCTCAACGATTTTCCCATCATCACAATTTAATGTATCCATTATTTCTTTATACAACCTTTCTGGATAGGCCTTAAGTGCTGACCTAATATTTTAAAATGAACCAATCAAATACAAAAAGGCAGAGAATATGAATAGTAACAGACTTCATTTTCCAAGGCTCAAAAATTCAAGTTATATTACTATGGCCATTAAGTGAAGAGCTATCTGTTACTTGTGAGAAGAAAGCATGACAGATCTAAAAAAATATTAAAGCACAGACATATTAGTGCATTATTGACTAATATAGATATATATGGTCAGAGCCGTGACTTTCACAATTATAATATATGACTGTAAAAGCTGGGTCATTAGAAAGACTCAACAAAACAAAAATTGAGGATTCTGAATTGTGCTAGAGAAAATACCTCAGCATGCAAAACAAAAACAAAAATATTCAGTGTTAGATAAAGAAAATCTAAACCGTTTGTTAGAGATAGCAATAATGCAGATTCTATAAATCTTAAATACTTTGGATATATCATTCAAAGACAGAAGTCCCTGCAGAAAATTCTGATGCCTGGAAAATTGAAAGTTGAAACAAATGTATCAATAATTTGATGAAATGGACTGGTACACCAATTTATTAAGGGCCATCACAATTTGTTGTGGTCTATACAATCAAATTGGTATAATCAACAAAGGAAAAACCAGAATCTTTTTGAAGGTTCCTTGCCTTCTCCATTAGCCACTAGTTGCTATTAGTGTGATCTCAGAAATCTCCATCTTTTTTGAATGTATCTTGTTTACTTTGCATTTCTTATTCTTATTAGAGCTATGGTGACGTAGTAGTTAGAATGCAGTATTGCACACTAACTCTTCCCACTGCCAGGAGTTCAATCCTGATTGGCTCAAGGTTGATGCAGCCTTCCATCATTCCGAGGTCAGTAAAATCAGGACCCAGATTATTGGGGGCAACATGCTAATTCTGTAAACCTCTTAGAGAAGGCTGTAATGGAGCGGTATATAAGTCTAAGTGCTATTGCTATTATTCCATAAATTACTGAAATCTGGATCAGAGAATCTCTAAGATTAGCACCTGAGATAAGTGCAGCCATTTAGTAGTTAGAAAAATAGGATATCCCTATTTGCTATTGGAAAGTAAATCAAACATTTCCACCCCCTTGGCTGCTGCTGTGTTTTCCATACCTGCTTACAAACTTCAAACAGTATTTTAACTTATAAGAATATAAACAGCTCTGCTAGTATTTCATCAACTCTTGCAGCTTGATTACTAGCAATATTTTATAGGACCTATCTAACTTCATTTCTAGCTCTAGTTCATTGATCAAACCTTTCTAACCAACATCAATTTTACAATCTTTTTGGCAAAGTTCCTACAAATATTTGCACCTTTTTAATTTTCTTTCTTCAGGAGAACTTTGTGTTCTATATTTACATAAAATAACAGATAACTGATAATCAGAGTTGTAAGGGACCTTGTAGGTCATCTAGTCCAACCCCCCACCCAAGTGGGAGACCCTATACCATTTCTGACAGATGGCAGTCCAATCTCTTCTTGAAGGTCTCAAGTGATGGCGCTCCTACAACTTCCAAGAGCAAGCTGTTCCATTGGTTGATTGTTCTCACTGTCAGAAAGTTCCTCCTTATTTCCAGGTTAAATCTCTCCTTGTTCAGTTTCCATCCATTATTCCTTGTCTGGCCTACAGGCGCTTTAGAAAATAGCTTGACTCTTATCTTAATTTTCTTAAATAAATCTCCTGTACTTCCCCTCCAAATGTTATCCTCACTCTCTGCTGTGTTTGTTTAGATGCAATTCCTTAGATGTGAGATGTCTCTTTTTATTTAATTCATTCAATGTAGCTATGCAAACATTTCTGTCTCTGTTGCCTTTTGAATTCAGCCTTTCTTTAGCTATTTTCAACATATCAGCAGCAAGCTTTCTTTTACATTTTTATATTACACTGTAGCAAACAAGTGCATAATCCTTTTATTTTAAAATGTTCCCTCTGAAACAACCACACAAGCATTTATCAGTCTATTCAATTTTAAAGGAAATGGAAGCAGATTGTTTTTTTCCATAACTCTATTTCTATATAATACCTTGTGGATTATAGCTCTAATCAATAGTAAGCTACAGTTCACCTGCTATAAACACAAATAGTAGAGCAAAAAACTCATTTAACCTTCTTTTATTTTCCCATACGGACACTGCAATCCACTGATGAATGACATACAATTACATAATAAACATAGAGGTTATTACAGTGCATTCAACACAAAATATCCACAGAGCTATAAATGACTATGAAAAAAAAAGGGGTTTAACAGTGTGTTGGAACTCAAAAAGTATTTTCTGCCTAATATTTCAGACAGAGGCCTCAAGACTTAATTGAAACACTTTGAAGTAGAATCTGTATTTGTGTAATGAAAGGATACATCAAATAACTTTGAGAAGGAAGCAGAAAAGTGATTTGGGGGGAAGAAGAGATAGTAATGAAGGCAGTTGGCCATTTTTTTGAGCATTAGATAAATGTTAGTTATTAAATTAGATGAGACCATTTTGAGGACCTTCCAATCAATACATCAGTAATTAATTATACCTTGGACTGCTAGCATTATCTCTTTCACCCTTCGGTACTGGCTTAGCAAAATCGTTAACTCTTCTATGCGGCGGTCCTATAAAGGAAAAGATAACAACATTAAATTTATAAGAGTATCAAAATAATCAATCACAGAAAGTGCTATGTGGAACATGTGGATACATGAATCTTTTTCTAGTCTTCCAAATCCCAAAGTTGTTTCTGTGGTTTGTTGCCAAGTGATAAAGGTATATATTTTTCTAGTTTGGTCTTAATCAGATATACAAAAAGGCAATGTGTTCTTACTGCTGGCACCAGCATTCACTTTGATATTTGGAAAGCTGTGCTTAAATGTTTGTTTTCTTCCTTGTAAAAAGCAAACCATAGGAGCATTTTTGCAGCCATATTTGATAAAAACATATAGCTTTTTCTGTTTCACTTTTGCTGTGACTTGCCTTACCTTTTTTCTTTTGCATATCTAATAAAGTTAAATAATTATTTTAACAAAAGCTGTTAAATTTTAACAATTATTTTAGCAAGTGATTACCAGACAGAATAAATTTAACTGCTGGGGGGAGATTTGTATTTGGAAGACTTGTATTTTCTCCTTCAGCAACACCTTTATTATGGTAACACCATCTTGACAGAAAACAGCTTTAAAGCTGTGTAGCAAGAAGCTCTCAATTTGCTTTGAAAAAATAATTCAAATAAATAACATAGCTAAAATACTGAGAAGAGTGAAATAAGAAGACATATAACCACTTTAACTGCAACAGAAAGTAGGTTAGGTCAAATAGTGAATTATTTAAAATTGCATTAGAATGTTTCACTCTTATTTCTTTCACTACTAAAAAGACAAGCTTTTATTGCAGGAGATCCTGGGTTAACTCATTCAGTGACCATTCAAATTTGCATGGGCACTGAACAAATGGCTTCCACGATTATAATATTCCAAAATCTTGAAGTCACAATTTGCCACCTTCTTGATCAGCTTCCAACAAGCAAAATCAATAGGGAAGCCAGCAGGAGGTTGCAAATGGCACATGTGACGTCCAGAGGTGGGCTTCAAAATTTTTAGCAACGGGTTCTCTGCCCGGTTGCTGGGTGGGGGTGGGTCTCTGGAAGCTGGCAACGGGCCCATTTCGGGAGGCTCATTTTTCACCCTCCTGAACCTCCACGCGGGTCCTGCACTTAGCTGCATCCAAAACGGGCTCTGTGGGGACCCCTGGGAGGGGCTGGGTAGGATAGGCAGGGCCAACCAAAAGTGGGATTTGGGGGTTCTCTGAACTGCAAAGAATCTTAGCTAGGGGCCCTCCCGAACCCCTGCGAACCCCCAGTAGCCCATCCCTGGTGATGTCCTCCCTGAATGATCCATGGTTACTCTCTTAATGCAACCAAGAGTGCCGGAATTACTATCATTAAATGACACAGTCATTGACATCACACTTCACTTTGCAACAGCAATTCCCAATTCAAGTGCTGTTGTTAACCGAGGATTATCTGTAATAGGGCTGTACAATGTTCTGGATTTGATTTTGAAGAAATGCTTTTGAATACAAGAGCCTCATTAAAGTAACTCTGTAGGTAGGTTACCCCATTATCCTTTAAGACTTTATGGCAGGTATGGAAGTGTCCAGGTATCAAATCCTGCGATAGCAGATGGGTGCTATACTTGTGCTCCTGTCTTTTCTCTACATCCTCTTCTGAATAAAATCTAAAATAATGCGCGATCCTATTCAACAGTGCACAATTGCATTAGTGTGCCTCTGCCACCCTCTCTGCAGATGGATAGCGTCTTGGTAATGGGGCAGCATATGAGGCCTCTTGGAACTTTCCCTACCTACAACTATTACTAAAATAATATTCACAGTATTTGCTCTAAAAGTCACATTATTATTTCGGGAAGATGCATCAGCTTGTACATTAATACAACATTATCTTTGTCCTCTCTATGCCCCACATTTCTCAAAGACATGCCAGGCTAATTTAGTTAACCACATAGTTGATTTAAACTAGTAGTTCCCAAAGTACGCGGTACCACCCCGACGGGTGGTGGGATCCCTTAGGGGGCACTAAGAGGCAAGGGGGCCATCAGGGGGTCGCTAAGAAGCAGGAGGGGGGCGTTCGAGGCATCGGCCCGCCAGGTTCACTCATTGACTGTAGCATCACTCTGGAGCCAGAGCCTTCAATGCAGAAGCTGTGGCTGTGTTCAATGCACAAACATCCCACTGCTGCCTCTTAGCGTCCCCAAGGGGGCCAGCAGAAGGGCGCTAAGAGGCAGCAGGGGGGCGGCGCATTGAATGTGGTGGCACATAACCTGCCACCGCTTCTGCATTGGAGGCGCCAGCTCCGGAGCAGTGCTAGTCAATGGGTGAACCTGTAGGGCCAGCCGGCACCTTGAACACCCCCCTGCCTCCTCTTAGTGCCCCTCTGCCAGCCCCCTTGGGGATGCTAAGAGGTGGCAGGGGAGTATTCGAGGTGCCGGCCCTGCAGGCTCATCCCATTGACTGTTGTACCACACCGGAACTGGTGCCTCAAATCCGGCAGCATGTTGGGAATAGCCGCCGCCACTGCTTTCCCAAAGTACTGCCGCTGTTGCATTCTGTCTGTCTGTCTGTCCATCCGTCCATCCATCCATTCATCCAAAAGGTCTGTCTGTTTGCCTGCCAGCCTGCCTGCCTTCCTACCTACCTGTCTGTCTTTCTGTCTGTCTACCTACCTACCTACCTACCTCTACCTACCTACCTATCCATCCATCCAAGTCTGTCTTCTTGCTTGCCTACTGACCTACCTACCTACCTACCAATATCTATCTACCTACCTACCTATCCATCCATCCAAAAGGTCTGTCTCTCTTTCTGCCTGCCTGTCTACCATCTATCTATCTATCTATCTATCTATCTATCTATCTATCTATCTATCTATCTATCTATCTATCTATTTATCTGTCTATCTGCCTGCCTGCCTGCCTGCTCTCTCTCTCTCTTTCCATCCATCCATCCATCCATCCATCCATCCAACCATGTTCAAAGCGCCAACCCCACAAGCACATCGGGAAAGTAGAGCAAAGCCAGTCTGGGAGGGAGGGAGAGAGAAAGAGAGAGAAAGAGAGACCTGATGCATCAGATTGAATAAGGCCTAGTTTAGTCTGAGGCCATTTTCCACATGGAAACATCTTTGCCAGCACATTGAAACCTCTTTGGCTTCTATTAAAGGTTTTGTGGATGAAACATGGTCAAGACTATCAGGAAGTTCCACATTTTGTTGAGGCTTTAAACAGGATCCATTGGACCAGATCTCCACCCTAAAAATTACTTTTGCTCAATGTATTACAGTGCCAATTCTGAAGAAGGCAAACCCAAAATGTACTGGTAAATTGCAAGAAGAACACACACACTCTCTCTCTCCCTTCTAACCCTGCTGGAGCAGGTGATTGGGCTAGAATAGATATCTTATTATCTTTCAGAAATGCATGAAACCAAGGATGAAAACCTCCTAGAATGCATATGGGTCAATATAAAAGAAAAAAAGAATCATAGGTGTATATTATAAGCCACCCAATCAAGCAGAAAATATTGATGTCCTTTTTGCCAGCCAACTAACAAACATATGCAGGAAACACATAACAATAGTAATGGGAGACTTCAATTATCCTGATATCAATTGGAAAACTAATTCTGCACCAAGTGAGAAATCAAATAAGTTCCTAACCAACCTAGCTGACAACTTTGTTGTCCAAAAGGTAGAGGGTGAAACTAGAGGGACAGCCATACTGGACTTAATTTTTACAAACAGAGAAGAAGTGAAAGAGGGAGTTGAAACTGCAGAAACCTTGGGTGAGAGTGACCATGTCATACTAGAATTCAACATAACACAAACACAAGCAACAAAACATAATGACACCAGAGTCTTGGATTTTAAAAGAGCTGATTTCAATAAACTCAGAGAGAACTTGAGAAAGATTCCATGGATGAAAATCCTAAAGGGGAAAACAACTCAAGAATCTTGGGAAACTCTGAGAAGTATGATCATAGAAGCCCAGACCAGCACAATACCACTGAGAAAGAAAAACAAGAAATCCAAGAAGAAACCAGCATGGCTGCACAAAGATCTCTCTGGCAAATTGAAAGAAAAAAAGGACAAGTACAAAAAATGGAAAGAAGGACATACAACTAAGGAAGAATATCAGCAGATAGCCAGAATCTGCAAAGACGAAGTCAGGATAGCAAAGGCTCAGAACGAACAAAGACTTGCAACAAAAGTCAAAGATAATAAAAAAAGTTTCTTGCAACATATAAATAACAAGAAAAAAATCAAGGAAACAGTCGGTCCACTAAAGAGAGAAGATGGCAAGGAAGTAAGAGGCAACATAGAGAAAGCAGAACTGCTTAACTCATTCTTTGCATCTGTCTTCACGCAAAAAGAAACTATAGTTGAACCCACCAAACCATAACTGTAAAAGACAGACCAGAAACAAAAGTTAAAATAAGCAAAAAAATCGTAAGAGAACACCTGTCTGATCTTGATGAAAACAAATCACCGGGGCCTGATGGATTACATCCCAGAGTTTTAAAGGAGCTGGCAGAGGTCATCAGAACCACTGCACCATATCTTTCAAAAATCCTGGACCACCGGGGAACTAACAGAAGAATGGAAAAGAGCTGATATAGTTCCCATCTTCAAAAAAGGAAAAAAAACAAAAAAAAACAGACCCAGGAAACTATAGACCAACCAGCCTAACATCAATACCCAGGAAGATACTGGAAAAGATAATTTCAAAAACAGATCTGCCAACATCTAGAAACAAGTAAAGTAATAACTAGCAGTCAGCATGGGTTTGTTAAAAACAGATCATGCCAAACCAATCTTATTTCATTCTTCAACACAATGACTAAATTAGACCAGCAAAATACTGTGGACACAATATATTTAGATTTCAGCAAGGCATTTGATAAAGTAGACCACAAACTACTTCTTAGTAAGCTAGAAAAAAGTGGAATAGATAGTACCACCACTAGATGGACTCGCAACTGGCTGGCAAACCGTACTCAACGAGTAGTCCTTAATGGGTCTAAGTCTACATGGAGGGAAGTAAGCAGTGGGGTGCCACAAGGTTCTGTCATAGGCCCAGTACTCTTCAATATCTTCATTAACGACTTAGATGAGAGAATAGAAGGGGAACTTACCAAATTTGCAGATGATACTAAGCTGGCACGAATAGCTAACACCTAAGAAGATAGGCTCAAGATCCAGATGGATCTTGACAGACTAGAACACTGGACCATATCTAATAAAATAAAATTCAATATAGAGAAATTTAAAGTCCTACACTTAGGCAAGAAAAAACAAAAGTACACATATAGACTGGGTGAAACCAGGCTCAACAGCAGTAACTGTGAGAGGGATCTTGGAGTCTTAGTGGACAACCAGCTAAATATGAGCCAGCAGTGTGCAGCAGCAGCCAAAAAAGCTTATGCAATCCTAAATTGTATTAACAGAGGGATATAATCAAGATCAAGGGAAGTACTAATACCACTCTATAAAGCCTTAGTAAGACCACACCTAGAGTACTGCATCCAGTTTTGGTCACCACATTATAAAAAAGATGCTGAGACTCTAGAAAAAGTACAGAGAAGAGCAACCAGGATGATTAGGGGACAGGAGGCTAAAACATACAACAGACGGTTGCAGGAACTGGGCTTGGCTAGTCTAGTAAAGGAGAAGGACCAGGGGAGACATGATAGCGGTCTTCCAATATTTGAGGGGCTGCCACAGGGAGGAAGGGGTTAAGCTATTTTCTAAAGCGCCTTAGACCAGACAAGGAATAATGGATGGAAACTGAACAAGGAGAGATTTAACCTGGAAATAAAGAGAAACTTTCTGAGAGTGAGAACAATCAACCAATGGAACAGCTTGCCCTCGGAAGTTGTGGGAGCGCCATCACTTGAGACCTTCAAGAAGAGATTGGACTGCCATTTGTCAGAAATGGTGTAGGGTCTCCCACTTGGGGGGGGGGTTGGACTAGATGACCCACAAGGTCCCTTCCAACTCTGATTATTTGTTAAATCTATTTCTCCTCCCTCCCTCCTTCTTTACTTCTTTTTCTTTCTGTCCCTTCCTTCCACCACCCCTTCTTTCTTTGTCCCTTTTTCTTTCTTTCCCTTTTCTTTTTTTTTTCTTCCTCTCTTTCTCTCTCTCTTTCTTTTCTCTCTCTCTTTCCCTCTCTAAGACTCACCCCTTTAGATCAGGGGTCGCCAAACTTTTGGACCTCAGGGACCACCAAACTCATAATTTTAAATCCCGGAGACCACAAATATGAATTTTGACTGACGGTGGCTTTCTGGCGTTGGTGGGAGAGAGAGAGAGAGAGAGAGAGAGAGAGAGAGATCTAATCCAACCACTCTCTCCCCCTCTCTTTCTCACACACACAGGCGGGGGTGGGATTTAGGCCCCTGATCTAAAGCTGTCAGAATTCCAAAAACAGATCAAGTAGCTCTGGGGAGGCCAGTCATAAATTAGAACACTTGCTAAACAACCAGCCATTAAGTGAGGACCACTTGTATTTGGTTTACCAGTCACCTGGCCACGCCCACCCAGTCATATGACTAGCAAGCCACATCCTCAAATTAGGCCACGCCCATAGAAATTTGAATCCCACCCCTGGGTGGGGGGCACCGTGGATGAGTTTGTAGCACCAAGGGGGCAGCGGACTTAAAAAGTTTGGGAACCACTGATTTAAACCTTTGATATGCTAAAAATACAATCCCCAGAATGATAGCCAATTTGTACATGGAAGTAAGCCATCACTACTTTCCCCAATCCAAGTATTCATTACACATTATCGGTTGTATTTTATTTTATTTCCAAGTACAAAAAGAGGTCTCTCCAAGGCAATGAAATGGGTGAAAAAATAAGTCAGCTACTTCAATTCTGGACAGCAACTTCAATTCTGGATAACCACATTATGAGAAACACTGACATAAAATTGTTTAACTTACTGTGAATTACCCTTTTATAAAGAACCAATTCCTCCCCCCATCCCCAGCTATGGCTTGAATATAATCCATATTCCATAAAATACAAAGAAAAATAGAAGAACTATAATAAAAGATTAAGACATTTCACTATTGTAATAATTAAAAATAAAAACAAAATTCTGAAAGGCTAGAGACAGTATAAGGAATCAAAAAAGCAGGAAAAGGTCTGTACTTTATACAAGAATGCCAGAAACCATGACCTCAAAATGAGTGCATCATGGATAGCTTCCAAGGGAGACAGAACAGATACCTGAGGAATGGAGAAATCAGCCAAAGAAATAAACAAGCACAAGTTAGCCAATTAGTATTGTGCACAGTGAGATTTTGAGCAGCAACATAAATATAAAACCTTTAAAAAGAGACAATGCAAGCTGCATGCTCTTTATCCTCAGAAGAACTTCTCTTTCCTTGAGTTGGATTGGGTCAGATCTAGCAGTGAGAGAACAAGAGTCATGAAGGTGTAACTGCAGTTGCTTGTGAGCTACTGAAGGAGTTTGTGCATGTCTCTAAGAGGAGTGACAAAGGAAAGTGACTGTCTATACATGGGACTCAAAAACATAAAGCCCATTGGATTCAGAATAAAATTTTCTTAACACTAAATAAGCAATATTCATAGCTGCATGATCAACAACTACATCTTGATTTAAATTTTTGATACTCAACATCTTTCAGTTAGGAGTGCAGAAATGCAGAATGGAAAGGATATTCCTGAGCAAGGAAGAGTTTTTTTTTTCTTTTAAAATCTCTCTCTCAAAGAGATTTCTGAAGGAATATGGCTGAATGAAGATAATAGCTCAACAGACAAGTGGAGCCAACAGTTGCAGAAATTACACAGGGGCTGGCACAGATTGTCTCATACGATCCTTTCTGGATCAAAGAGATGAGAAATTGCTCAAGCTATTTCTCCTTATGGTTGCTCCTCTTCCTCACAAAGAGATTGCAAGACAGTTATCTCTGGCGATCGCGGTGGGTGGGGTGGTAATAGTGAAATTGGGAGACAGGGGAATTAATTCATATTTGTTCCAGCTGCAAATGAAGTCTTTCAAAGTTTGTGCACCTCCCTTGCTACCTATTTTTAGAAATTATCTTTTACCTACTTAAAAAAAATTAAGACACCTACAGGGTGTCAAGGCTGGAAGTACTGAGTGAGTGCTTTCAATCTTCAATATAAAAATATAAAGGTTTATTTTTATAATAATTAAGAACTTGAACAGCTGAAAGGAAGACAAAGTTTTGGCTACAGAAAATTTTAAGGGGTCAGAAAATTCTGGAGTTTTGGACTTTAAACATTAAGACTCTGAGATTATTTTTTTTAAATGCTTGTGGGAAAGAAATTTTGCTTTTGAGATTGAACGTATAAAAGACAAGTAATTTATAACAGAGTTTACACACATCTTTGAGGATCTGCATGGGGATCTGCATCATGAATTTGAAGTCAGCTTTGTTGGGTCTTCTTGAGAACACTTGGTTCCCGGGTGAAGATGTTATAGAACAAGCTATGCAGCAAAATTAATTTTCTGAATAAGAATTTGTCACCAGATATTAAGAGAAGACTCGATAAGGCTCTACAAATCACAAAGAAAATATAAATGATAATCCCAAAGAACAATTGCAATAATTTCCTTTTGTTAGATTTACAAAAGAGGACTGTTTAAAATGCTAAAGTAATTTGTAACCAGGATCAACAACCATTTGAATGGATTACTGAAAAAGACTCCTGTAAAGTTGGTTTATTCGACTAAGGATAAAATGGGATACATTGTCATTTTGGGTGGCTCTTTCTGAATTTGCTGATATTTTAACTGGAAAAATATGGTACTGGATTTGCTCACATTTAAACTGATGTAAAGATTCTTTCCCTTATACCTACTTTAGGTAATCCTAAATTTATAGAAGTTAGATTGGCTTTGTATTTAATTGCTTTTTGAAAATTTAAAGTGCGGACTTGGTCTTTCTAAAGGAGCAAATATTTCTCTTTGTTATACTAAATGTTGGTCTTTTGTTTATATTAGGATATTAGGATTACTTTAAATATATGAAATGTGGATGTGCTTAAAGTCTAGAGATATGGAATGTATATTGTAGAGATAAGGTGCTTTCTGGAATGTGGTATGTTGGAGCTTTTTTTTTGTAAGGGAGAATTGGTGCCTTTCAAATGTGGGCTTTCTTTTATTTAGATTACATTAGGAGAGTGGAACCATTGTATGGCTTTTAAATGTTATATATGATTCTGTTATACCTGAGGTATAGATATGGAATGCTTTGTTTGGATCTTTTGCTGGTAACTGAATTGAAGAACGATGCTACTATATGACTTCCTGGGGCTAAGAGATAGGTTATGGGGTGAAGAATCTTATAGTTGTTAGCTAAGAGGAGGTGAAGAGATTGAAATTGTTTACACTTGTCATTATGGAAAGTCACCTTTTGGGGGAGGAGTTCTTTTCATACATTTGTCTACCTTTTCCTTGCATTATTTTCTCTTTTTAAAGACTTCTGGTTTGTATTAGCTTTTATTTTGCTATTAAAAACAATATATATATTTTAAATAACTCTCTTTAAGAGAAAAAGGATGGGCTTGTTCTTCAGATCAGATAGAAACGTTAGAGCAGAGTTGAGTTCTGTAACTAAAGGCACAAGGCAGGTGCAGCTGGAAGCCAAACAGATTGTCTATCAACATTACCCTCCAACAAACAAAATGTATCAAAAGCCCCAGGGATAACTCATAACTGCTTTCTTACCTTTTCCTGATTTGCAGTCAATAGGGATTCCATTCCTACTTTCAAACGCTGGACTTCTTGGTCTAAAAATGGAAACAATATTTGAACAGTGCGAATTATCCAAAATGGTATACAAAATGATTGATTTAGGGAACCTCAATAGCTATTTCACCGTCATTGTCTCTCTTCCCATTTAAATGATATGCTGATAGCAAATAGTTCCTGAGTATCAGTTCCCAGGTTTAATCAGATGTGCATGTCTAAAAAAAAAAAGGTAAAGGTTTTCCCTGTGCAATTGCTTCTGACTCTAGGGGGTGCTGCTCCTGTCTGTTTCCCAGGCAAGGAAGACAGTGTTGTCCGAAGATGCTTCTGCAGTCCTGTGGCCAGCATGACTATCCGCCAAGGCACATGGAACACTATTACCTTCCCACCAAAGCGCTACCAGTTATCTACTTGCATCTGCATGCTTTCAGACTGGTAGGTGGGGAGGAGCTTGCACAAGGTTGGGAATTCATCTGGCATGAACTGCCAACCTTCTAGTTGATAAGCCCAAAGTCTTAACCACCAGCCCATCATGCTCTCCTCCTGTACATATCTCTTAGAAGGTTTCAGTTGTTGTTCCTCTTCCTCACCCTTCTAGCACTGTTAGTGATATTTTAAAAAGGAATGGCCTCGGCTTTTTTTTCCACAATTCTACCCTATAAAAGCCTTCTTTTGGTGGAAGAGTGAAGCTTAGTCAGCTACATAAGGGAGGAGAATGTGGGAAAGAAATGGCACTATTTTTATACAACATTCAAGTTAATGAAAATACAGCAGAAAATAAAAACAGAACAGGAAAAAACTTAGCCTAGAGTTGTACAACCGGTAAAAGATTCAAAGTATTGTATGTTTAAGAATACGCATAACTGTATCTGTGACTTTATATAGGCAGATTTCTATGGACTATGGAAACTAGTTGCTTATTAAAAAGTAAGCATAAAGTGTCAATATTTTAAATATGAGAAAACAGACAATTTAAAACCCAAAGTAATTGAGAGTAACTGACAAAAAAAAACCCATCTCCTTAAAACTACTTAAAACATCACTTGAAAAGACAAAGTTGCTTATAAATTTTGGATTTTGTTTTTCTTTCCCATTTCTAAGAATAACTGCCTCTTTCTACTTTACTAAATGGTATAAAAGTCCTTGGAAGAAAATCTAGTAATGCCATTCAAGAGAAAAATGGTAGCAACTGTACTTTTCTCTTGAATCTGCTTAAGGGAATTTTAGGAAAAGTAAAGTCTTGTATTGCACCACATACTATATAACAACCTTTTGCTAGTCTTATTAAAATATAAGATTTTTGTCTCTGTGTTTTTTTTAATGTAGGCTAACTTCACAGTCTTTTTGCAAACTGGATTGCAAGTATGCATATTATCACTAGATGGCAGCTAAGAAAAATGAAAAACTCAATTTCTTTGCTAATAACTAGGGGCTGCCTATATTTCTTGCAGCCAGTTTGGCTGCCTTGTTTTAGTCTTTATGTAAAATCTTGATTTATATGTTGGATTCACTCTAAGGTGATTTACTGTAATAGAACAGCTCAGTTATCCTTCAAAGATAAAACATGGATAAATGACTCAAATATTATAAGTACTATTGACTGGATGGAAGATTCTTCACTGCAGACATGAAATTGCTAGCATTTTAGGAAAACGATATAGCTGATGATGTAAAAATGATTTGATTATAATATCTGCCCAAACAATTCTGAATAATTTTAAGTGGACATTTCCCAAGTTCCAAAATTTTTTGTACAGTAATGCAAAATGATTCAATTTATTTAAGCTTCAAAGGAATAATCTGCAAAGATGGCAACGTGACACACAAGGAAAGTACAAAGAAAGAATGAGCGCTAGCTATGTACATTAGTCAGGTATGGAGGAAATATCATTGTTTAGAGATAATTTCATGCAGAAAATTTGGATTATTAATTCTAATGATTTATAAAGTTTTGTACAGTATATTGAGGAAGCAGCAGAATTAGTAATTATATATATATATATAAAGTTGAAAGAAAGACAAGGCCATACAAAATTGCATGCAATGTGCAGTAACCAGACAGAAAAAAATTGTGCATTTTTAAAGAGATTTTTTAGGGTCAATTTGGTCTAGTGGTTAAGGCACCAGGCTACAAACTGGGAGATTGTGAGTTCCAGTGCTTCCTTAGCCACGAAAGCCAACTATATGAACTTAGGCCAGTTATACTCTCTCAGTCCAAATCACCTCACATGTTTGCTGTTGTGGGGAAAATAGCAGGAGGAAGCTATGTTGGATATGTTCATCGCCTCGAGTTATTCGTAAAAATAATAAAGTGGGATACAAACAAACAAACAAACATTAATCTTCTAAAAGAGCCACAGTGTTGGGGCTAAATACTGAAGTACTGTAAAAGTACTTTATTAGACACGTAAAGTATTTTAAAATATCAATTTGTTTTTTTTTTTTTACAAAACTATAAATGTCAGATGGGTACTGGAAATAAAAAGGAAAAAAGTGTGTAAGAACTGAAGTTAATTCAATTCTATCATTTCTCTGCAACCAATGGTGGTTTGCATTTCAAAGTTTTTTTTTCAGCTACCCAGTCTATCCTACAACCTTGGTGTCTACAATCCAATAAGCAGGTCTGCTGCTGCTTAAAAATCTGTCAAAAGTGGTTGAGTATTGTGACCCATTGTAGAAAAGCACTTTAAAAGATCTTTATGGGTTAGAATTATATTTTATTACAGATAAACCCACTAAAATCAACAACATGTAATTAATCGGTAGCATTTTAGTTACTCAAAATGTTAACTATAAAGAACTTATACTGGAATTTATTGACTTTGACAGAGCTTATTTTAAAGGGTTATCTAATTTCAGACTGAGATTTATTTTTTGACAGATAATACAAACAACAAAAATGCTATCTGCAACACAAATCTTATGGTACAAGTAGTCCTCATTTAATAATCATTTGTTCAGCAATTGTTTGAAGTTACAGGATGCTGAATGAATGGTACTTATAAGTCCCTGAAGTTACGGCCTTTACAGCACCCCACAATTATGTCATTATTTATTGTTTATTTATTTTTTCATCCCATCTTTACTCAAGGCAGCAAACATATATAATACTTCTACCTCCTCCTATTTCCCCTACAACAGCCGTGTAGGGCTAAGATGAGAGAATAACTAGCCCAAAGCCATCAGTTGCCTGTTATGACCAGAGGAGCGTTTCAACTTCTCCCACCCACCTATCTCCCCATGGTCTCTGCCCTTTTGTCCACCCTGCAGGGACTCTTTGGTGGTAGTGGCAATGTTGGGGCTAAAGTAGAGGCCTGAGAACTTTAGTAATCTCAGCTAGCCACTTGAGTTGTTCTCCAAATAGCACACACTATTTACATAATGCTACAGAAGGGCTCAGAAGCTTTCAAAAGGATTGCAAGAATGATGCAGGCTATTTGGAGAATAGCGCGAGTGAACCTCGGGACAAAGGCCTGGCCTGGCTGGCAGCTGCTTTGCCACAGGGGTGAGCTAAGAAGGCCACATCAGCAGAGGGAGGAAGATGACAAAAGTCAGCAGTGTCTCTGTGGTGTGCAGAGTGGAAGGGTGGCCGGGGCTTTGTGCTGTAGGTCTGGGGTGGTTGGCCATGGCATGGAGTTGAGGAAGCACTCCTCAGCAATGGCACTAGGGTTGAAATAGTAGCCCGGGGATGATGGCAGCTGGCTGAGACTGAAGGCCTTGGGCCTCTACTTCTGCCATAGTGCCACTGCTATGAAGTGTCGCTGTGCAAGATGGACAAAAGACAGAGATGAGATGGAGCTGAATGGGTGAAGCAAATTGAAAAGGAGGCAGAGGAGGCAGTCACTCCTTACTGAAACTTGAGGCTGGGAGGGACCAACCCAGGAAGTGGATCAGGGTGGGTCCTCGCCTAACAACTGGTGGGGTTTGGTTAGTGACAACAATAGAGACTACCAGGATTGTTGTTACTAAATGATGTGGTCATCTGACATTGTATTTTACAATCACATCACTTAGTGACATAAATTCCGGTCCCAATTTCCATCATAACTGTGCCTGTGTTTAGATCAAATAGCTGTCTGGTTGCTTTCAATAGTGAGTTATTCACATATATTAACATTATGATTTAGCAGCTAAATATAAATTAATGTTCACTGCTGCAGAAATGCATTTTAGCTGAAATTTGTGTTTGAAAGGCAAGAAAGTGAAATCTCAGGGCTTACGTTTTTCTTTTAGCCTTTTCTTATACACTTCCTCTACAATTGGAGATGGAGAAAGTCAATGAAGAATGTAGGAAAAAACAGATGAGATAACTATATTCATTTCCATCGAAATATGCATCCAAAAAGAGAAATATATACTTGACATTTCTAATCTCTTTCCTATTTTCAAAGGGAGGTTAAGAATGTTTGTAAGGAGCTAAGCCACTTAAAATGCACAGGTCCTGCTTTTGGAATCCACAGACAATTCAAAAACAAGTGCATTTGCAAACATTTCTAGCAACTTTTAATCAATAGTCAAATCTAGTTTTTGACTATTTTTAGCCAATAGTCAAATCTAGTAAACGTGTGTTTAATGCAAAACATGCAACAACATTATGATAAATAGAACTCCTATCCATTTAATAAGTAATCAATCCCTAGTGTGTCTCAGGACATCTTTGAAAAACATCTTAAAATATTCATTTATTTATGGTAAAGTACCACTAATTCAATTTTACTGCCCATAAATAGGAGAACAAGATTCAATCATCCACAGTTGATCTGGAAGGATAAAAGGCTGAATAATTAATGTACAACATTATGAAATATCAAGTGGGAAACGGCCATGCACATAATTAGGTGCAACCCTTGACTCGGTGTAGGAATCCAAATAAGCATCTTTGACAGAACTTTCTACAATTTTTACTGAAACACAGCTAGTAAACATATATTTTGCTGGTGTGACTGATGTATAAAGCATTTTGGTAAATAATAGAAAGTATGAATAACATTTAATATTGCCCATTATTTTGTATAATAATGAAATTAATTAAATTTATTAATTAATGAAATTAATGAGCAAGTTTATCTCCAGCGAACTCTTAGCAGGAGTATATTCTTGCCTAACATAGAACAAGATTACAGTGGGAATTCCACCTAAATTGTTGAAAGCCAATTAAAACTGTGACACAATACATAAATAACGAAGCAGGGTATGGGAATGCAACTTTCATAACTTAATAAATGCAGAAATGCTGTATGGATAACTGAGAAAATCAGTTTTTATTCTCTCGGCACTGAGGCTACTCTATTAGACACTTCATTTTAAATAACAACTATATATGATTCTTTAAAACATCTGGCAATAACAGAAATAAAGCACACAGCATTACCTCTCTCTGCAATTTCATTATTGGCTGATGTCCTAGAGATTTGACTCTGTAATCGTTCAATTTCCGAGTCTTTTAGAGCTAACTGTTCTTGAAGCTGTGCTATTTCAGCCTAAGGGAAAAGATAAATAATAATGTTATTTCTACCTTAACACTTTGCCAATCACCGTGAATTATTTACTTCAACAATATCAGAAACAAATCCCCCACCTGTTTTTATTTTTGAGAGGATTGGAAGACCAGATAATGGATCCATATATGATCCTATACCTATCCTGGTTTTACATAGCATGAGCTATTGTTTTAATTAAAAGGTAGGGATTGTTTGGCTATAGGAGTTTCGAGAGAGGAATGGCTTTTGTGTTCAGATTTCAGAACAATTGTCTGTTAGTCTAGAAAAGAGGTTCTCAAACTCTTCAACTCAATAACCCTTAATGAAGTTTCAGATTGTTCACTGACCTTCAAGCACTTATTATATGAACATAATTTAATAAATTCTACTAATAGTCCTACAAATAATAATAAAACAGCAATAATAATGGATATTATAGTCCCACTGATGGCTTTGCAGAATCTTGGTTTAGAGTCTGGGGAGGTAGATTGCATACAAATTATTGTATATATATATATGCACCTTTTTTGACATGTTCTCTATTTTTATCACATTTCTTAGGATTTAACTTCTAGCAGCTAGCAATTTCAAACAGCAAACAAATGTTCATGATAACAGTGTGAAGTGACTGAAATATTCTGTAAGATCATTTTTCAGGAGCCAGTCTGCACAAAATGTTTTAGGATTTGTATATTCCCTTCCTTCTGATATTTCCCTACATCCCATAAAAGCATTCTTGTGAGAAAACTTAGAAACAAACAGAATCAAATGCACTATCACCTCCCTTTGGGTCACATGCCAGCGTAAACCAACACCAAACTCCAACCATTCTTGAAAGCACATCCCATTATCTTGCGATTTCTGGAAGATGCATGAAAATGGGTTGTGTTCTCACGTGGCCTCCAGACCCGCCAAAAATCACATGAGACCAGGGTGTGCTTTCGCATTTGTGTGGTTTTTGAAGAATGCAGAGACTGCAAAAGAGCATTCTCTAAAGCCACTTCAAGAATGAAATCTCATGGGACTTGGAGTTGCCTCAGGTAGGCTGCAGGAGCCTGTCAACAAAAAGAGAATATTGCTCGAAGATAAGCAGAGTGTGGCAGATCCTGGGTATCATGCGATTGGACTTAGTGTGATGGTAGTGGTAACAAGCAGCAGAGTCAAATTGGTTCAGATCTTCCCTGCAGCAAACCTGAAATGTTTCCCTATATTGGGTTGCTTACTTTAGTTGCTTTCAGTTTCCATTCATATTGAGTCCTTTCATTTTCTAGCTCTTCAACCTTAATTTTCAGGTGTTTGAGTTCTTGTAACAAATTCTGGAGAGAAGTGGGAGGTAAAAAATGCTTCTTAATGACAGTGCATTTACAGTTCAATCATCTCTATATTAATCACATGTAAACATTATAAATGACAAATACATTCCATAGTTACATTTACAGTATGTTATGGTAAAATGACTTGACTAATAATATTAAAGATTTCAGTAGGGCAGTGTTTCTTAAAGTGTGAGTTTCATAAAAGGGTAGTTCTAGGACCTCTGAGGGTCCCCTAAGAACCTCTCAAGGGTTAAAAAAAATCAAAATTATTTTACCAGTTTATGTCGAAAAATAATATTCTATCAAACAATTGTAAGAAGCAAATGCATCAATTTTAATTTTTAATACAATAAATATTGATAATTATAACCCATACAAGCAAAAGCTTTTTTAGGGCCCTCCATAATTTTTAAAAGTGAGACGGGGCCTTGAGAGAAAAAGGGTTTAAAAAACACTGCGGTAGACGAAGCAGAATCACACATTCTATTTTATGTGGCAGATACACTGTTTTATTTATAAGCCAGAAATTTCTATTCCTAATCTCTTTTCATTAGTATCGGAGTTTGGTATTCTACAGATAGTCCCCAACTTATGAAAGAAATGGAGTTTGCCCATTCCATTCATAAACCATGAGTGTCATTACCAGACCAGATTTTCCAGTTGTTAAGCAAAATTGTTGTTTGGCAATGGGTCATTTTTGCCCAAAAAACAAAGTAAATGCTGATTTTTGGCAAAAAATATCATTAGTCACAGTCCCATAACTGTGGGACGCTCCAAATGGCCATAAATGGGGGCTAACTATCAAGTGCCTGAAACACATTCATATGATGGTGGAGGGGTCGACTACTGAAACTTTGTAAATGGATCATAAGCACCTTCTGGGGGGTCCATCATACTTTTGAACAATCACTAAGCAAGTCGTGGACTATCTGTGTAAAATCACTTCAAATTCCATTTTTAGCTTTATTTACAAAAAGACAACTGTGGTCAACATAACATGCATTCTTCTGGAGTGAGATGGAAAAGTTAGGTCTTAAGTATCTCTTGAACCAGGGGAAGGGAATATATAGACAGGATCTATGTGGATATAATATTCCCACACACCGAAACAGCAATAAAAATGTATTTCTTAGGTCCTGTTGTTCTCAGATAGATAGGACTTGGAAAAAGATCACCCTGTTTGATCTAATCTGATGAGGAAAATAACATATATAATATTTTGGGTCAGTTTCTTTTAGCTTTGTTTTGTTTTCAATCTTTATTAACCACTTACTATGTTATATTTAATGTAAAGCAATGAGACAGATAGAGGTGGAGGCATTCCTTTAAAGAAATAGCAGCAGCAAAACAAATATGTCCAAAATGTGATCCTCCAAGTTTCAAAAATAACACTGCAACTTCAGTAAACCTCAGCTAATAATAAATCTTAAAATGAGCTTACATTAGGCATAGCAGTGTCAGTCCTATCCTGTTGAATTCTACAAGCTTATCTAAAGTAGCTTTCAGTCTGACATATAAAGTGGTTTGGATCAGAGTGAAAGTTTATTCTACAAAACCAGATCTCCGCGAGATGTTTTTGCAGAATAAGCAATTAACTTTAAAGAGCTTTAGACGAAGAAAAAAATGACTGAGTTTTTATAGAGGCTTTCCTGTCCCATTCATTTGATTCTCTTAAACAAAATATATAAAATAAATGAAATCAGATGCCTATAATTTAAATATATTTTGAAGGTCATTGCCTTAAATGGAGGCCCATAGTCAGTAACGTTCTCATGTCCATCAAATAATAAGAGTTTGATGCACTATGATTATAGGTAAACCTTTAAAAATTACTTAATTGGTTTAATTAAACTTTAATTACTATAAAATGAATTAAAAGCAGATTATGTCTGAAATGATTTTTTTTGCTTTTTTGTTAATTATGCATTATTAAAACAGATTTACCAAACTAAGCAATTAGGTTCAATATTTCTCACCTACTTCTATAAATAAGATGAGTGGTTTCTTTAAATAAAAGCATTATAAATTAATAAATAAGGATAAAAAGACCTAGTAAGTGCTTAACTAGACCTTAGAACATAGAATAACAAGGTTGCAAGGGACCCTGGAGGTCTTGTAGTCTAACTCCTGTTCGAGCAGGAGACCTTATTCCACTCCAGACAAATGTTTGCCTAATCTCTTCTTGAAAACTTCCTGTGGTGGAGCACCACCATTTCAAGGGGGCAACCTGTTCCACTGATTAATTGTTCTTGCTGTCAGGAAATTTCTCCTTAGTTCTAGATTGGATCTCTCTTTAACAATCTTCTGCCCTTTACCTCTTGCCCTGCCCTCAGGTGCTTTGGCTAATAGGTCGACCCATCCTTCTCTGTGACAGTCCCTCAAGGATGGAAGATAGCTGTCATATCACCCCTAATCATTCTCTTCTATACTAGGAATATCTAGTTCTCTCAATTGTGCATCATATGATTAAGCCTCCTGATCTCTTCACTGCTCTTTTCTGCAGTCTTTCTAGAGTCTCAACATCTTTTTTGAATCATGGTGACCAGAATTAGATGAGGTATTTCAAGTGTGGTCTCATTAGTACAGTATGGAGTGGTACTGTCTCTTCCTGTGGTCTTGATGCTGTCTTTTGTGTTATGCAACCTAAGACTGCATTGACATTTTTGGCAGCTACAGCACACTACTGGCTCATATTCACTAGGACTCCTAGATCTCTCTCACAGTTACTGCTGGCGAGCCAGATATTGCCTATTCTATACCTGTGCAATGCATTTCGTTTTTCTTGCCTATGTGTAGGTCCTTACTTTTCTAATCAGTGAATTGCATTTTTTTGGATGTGTTTAAGTCTTTCATGGTCTTTACAATTTGCAGCATGGTTCTGTTTTAATAACATACTTTGAGTTAAAATGTTCATGTACGAACAAATTATACAATGAGTACAACATAGTCATAACATTATAATTCATAATTTGAAACTACTTACATATTGTAAAAATCGGTTTTACAAATATACATCCAAAGGTGGATCACCATTACAATTTTATATCAGAAATAGTCACTGTTATTTCAAGCATACTCTTCAGCTTTGACAAAATTCAGTTTCACAAAATCCTTTTAAGTGTAAGGTAGTGTTGTAGGAGATGAAACTGATTTACAACTGGGAGTCATGGCCTGTTACTGCCCCAGTTCCAGGACAAGACAACATTACTTTGTTATGAAACACAGCATCAATTCATGCCAAGTGGTCACAGCAAACTCTGATTAGTAATAATTAGTGTATTCCTCAGAAAAAAAAGAAAAATGTATAGATTCAGGCTAGCATTTGACCTTCATACTTCACACTGAAAGCAATTCTCCTGTGAAGGGAATTCTGTCACCCATTCAGTGCTGTTTTGAGAACCAACTGCCTCCACACTTGGTTTCCTACTGTGTGATTTTCTTCCCTGGATTTGATTATTAATCTCCAGTTGCAGTCTACACATCTGTTCTTGCAGGTCACTGATCAGGTTGACTACTGACTAAATAAGAGAGACAGAAAATGACATCTAGAGACAACATGAAATGAAGCCAAGAACATACTTTTTGGAGTGGGGGTGCGGAATGAGATACAATAGGCATTAAGGTGTGTTCTTTTGTGAAATAGTGAAAAGCGTAGGGATCATTCCACAGAACAGATCCCGTTAATGCTTAAAACCAGTGGTGTGTAAAACTGGTTCTGTAGGCGTGGCAGGGGAAGGATACTGTAAAATCTCCAGTCAGAGGTGGGATTTGCCGCTTATCTGAACTACTCAAAATTTCCACTACTGGTTCTCCAGAACTGGTCAGAACCTGTTGAATATCACTTCTGCTTAAAACAACTACTTAAACTTTTCCTTCTTAATCTTAAGAAGCTCAGATGACAAGTAACATTGTAAGAGATAAAAAATAATGCTTTTGGAAGATTCAAAAACCCTTTGGCTTGATAAATGTTTCTAGCTCATTAAGAATATGTTATCTGTGTCTGATTTCCTCAACATCTGGCTGTGATCATAGCAAACCAGTGCTTTTTCTGCCATATTATAGAAGGCAGGAAACCCTCTCTGCAAAACTTACATTTCTTAAAAGAATATAAAAAATGAACAGTAAAAAGAAATCGTGTTACCTATTAAGGCTAGGCAATTCTTTAGATTCATCTGGGAAAACATCCCTCCAAAAACTTGAAAAGGAAACTTCACACCTATCTGTAATTCATTAAAGCATTTCTGGTTTTTTTTTAAAAAAAGAATCTCACAACCATAGCAAAAAACATTCCATTGCAGCTTTGTGATTCTGAAAACAGAAGTGGTTACTTTAATGAGTTGCAGATAAATATAACACTTATGCTATGTTTTGAAGCTCTTCCAAAAAGTATCTGAAGCACTGACAGTCCTAATCCTATATTTTAAAATGTATCAAAGGCCTCATAGATCACAAGCTTTCATAAAATATTCCTAGGAATTTGCCTATTGTGGAATCTTATTAAATAGCAGTGTTCCCTTTGTTGTTTTTATGGCAACAATACAGAGATATATTATTACTGGCTTCTTCTGGGATAGTGTTCAGTTTCACAATCCAGCCTATAGCCTGGGATTTCCCATTCAAATACTTTACTAGCTTTGACTCTGCTTATTCAGAGCCAACTAAGAACAATCAGATATTGCTATTGTTGTGACAGAATCGTGATAGTTTTTAAAAATCAATTATAAATGCAAGTATTCTTATGTTGATATCCATCAGAACCCACCAATTTTTCTTTTTAATGCCAGGTAGATTTTGTTCAAGAATAATGAATTGAAAGAATATCTTGCAAAGAACCTGGTGTTTTTTTAAAATCACAAAGATTCCGTGACAGAGACATTGAAAACATCCTCTGAAAATATAAAGCTACTTCCCAAATAAAAATAGAAGCGTTAGATAGCCTTTGCTGAGTTCATGGAGCCAAGATAGATGAGAAAGTTTGAGTTTGGCATCAGGTTTAGCATCCCATAACCTCAGTTTATGCTTTAAGATTATGATACATATAAATACACACCACAGAGGCACTGTTAAACTCTCTATCAACATTGTATTTCATTTTTATATTTGATGAGTGTCAGCTCATGTAAAAGTTAGTTTTAAATTGTAAAACACTAATGCAGCACAGAATGGTAAAATCTCACTTTATGCAGAAGTAAACTATTGGTTTTGAGTGGCTCTGTGATTATATATAAATTTCCACCTTAACTTATTTGTTAAAAATAACAAAGGCAGGATCTAAATAAATATATCAGTATGCATCGATCAACTTTGTATGCATATAAAATTGCATCTTTAAATCCTATAAGAAAATCAATTCTAGACAAGGTATTCAAGAAATGAAAATTATAAGTCTCAAAACCCATGTTCTCAATCTTTTTTTCTTACAATATCAATTGAAAATATTTTCAACCAGAGTGTCTTTAAGTTTTGAGAAGAAATTCTGAAGGTATAATTTTGGAGAGAAAGCCCCCTCACTAAGCCAAAATTTAACTGCCACTGCAGATGGAGAGAGAAATACAGGTAATCTCTGACTTACAACCACAATTGGGAACAAAATTCCATTTGCTAAGCAAGCTGGCGAAGTGAATTATGCTCAATTTTATTACTTTTATCACCATGGTTGTTAAGCAAACCTCTGCAGTTGTTAAAGTGAATCACATGGTTATTAAGCAAATCCAGCTTCTTCATTGGCTTTGCTTGTTGGAATCTGGCTGGGAGGGTCAACAAATGACAACCAAATGACTCTGGGACACTGCAACTCTTTTAAATACATGCCGATTGTCAAGCACCCAAATTATGATAATGTGATTGTGGGGAAGTGGTGACGGTCATAAAAGCAAGGACCACTCATTAAACCTCTTTTTTCAATGCCGTGGTAATTCTGAACCATTGTTAAATGAATGGTCTACCTGTATATATTTTGCCACAGGCATTTGTTTTCAAACTAGAAGCAATGGGATTGTGACAGGTTCCTTTCACTTAGCTGAAAGCAGATGCTCAACCCTTCCCTGCATCTATCTCTCAGTCAGGGTGGGCCACAGTCTTCACCACCCAATTCTTGTGCCAGAACTAAGTGCAAAAATTACAGCTTTGTTTTTCATGACATTTTGTTGCCATAGGAACTATTTCACGTATATAGAGCCACATGATTTTGCTACTCTTCTTTCAATCTGTTTTTCTTTATTCCCCTGTCTGGGGGAGAAAAAAAACCTATGACATTGGTTTCATCTGGTTTCTAGTACCTGTGTCACTTCTTTTCAGAATTAAAATGGGAAACAGATTCAAGTTGAGTGGGAAAGAAGGGAAAGAGATGTCTCTGATTTAAGCCAATCTGTTATTTCTCCACAGAGCACTGTTTTCTGTGTGTGTCTTGACTGAAATAATAGAGATAAATCAAGGGGGATAATTTCATGTGTGCAGCACCAACCTGGATGCTGTCCAGCTCCAATCAATTTGGGGTGGCTCACAACTATAAAAGAATACAAAGAGAATACAAAAGAATACGAGCAGCAATTAGCCAGCTGTTTAAGGCTTTCCAGAATGAAACCAGGATGGGAGTTATATGGATTTCAAGGGGGGGACTTTATTCCAGAGGACAACACTGCTACGCAGAAGACATGTTTCCAAGACCCACAAAGAAGACAACATTCAATGGAGGGGACCTACAACTCAGCCATTGTGCCAGATCACACTGGACAGGCTGAAACAATTACAGATAGGAGGCCCCAAAGGATCTCCTCAAGAAAAAAAACAGCAAGCTGCTTGATATGCAAGCTTCTTGATAGTTTCCTCACTGACTTTGCTTGCAGAAAACCAGCAAAAGGCAGTCACATAACTATGGGATGCTGCAACCATTGTAAGTATAAGCTGGCTGCCAAGTGCCTGGATCACTCTCGTGTGATTATGGGGTTCTACAGTGGCTGGAATTTGACGATCAGTTTTAAGTACTACTTGTTCAGTGTTGTCACAATATTGTTACTTGTTACTGAATGAGTGATATTAACTGAGGACCACCTGTAGATGGGTACAGGTACAACAGTTGTATCCAACAAATACATACCAATGGGTCTACACCAACCGGTAGGAAGGTGATGAGTAATGTACTAGTTCAACATATTAATAAATTACTTGTATGGAGGGTTAGAAAATGTGAATGTCAAATCTGAAGATAACCCAAGAACGGGGCGGCTGGAAAATACTTTAGAGGATGCCAAAATTCAATAATACCTTGACAAAATGCAGATAATATCTTCATTAAAAGCAGAAAATAGAAACAAACATCAATTCCAGTATGGATAAGTACAAAGTCTTACATTTTGTTAGATAAAGTAAAGGCATAAATGTAAGAGCTAGCTTGGTCTAGTGGTAAAGGCACCAGGCTAGAAATCAGGAAACTCTAAGTTCTAGTGTTGCTTTAGGCATGAAAATCAGCTGGGTGATTTTAGGCCAGTCACTCTCTCTCAGCCCAACTCATTTCACAGAATAGTTGTTGTGGAGAGTATAGAAGGAGGAATGAACGTTGGATATGTTCACCACATTGATTTGTTTATAAAAGTAATAAAGGTGAGATTTAAAAAATCTAAAAAAAATGTTGGAGAGATACTGAACAGCAATAATGTGAAAAAGATCTAGGTATCTTAGTGGATTATAAACTGAACATAAACCAATCAAGTTATGCAATTGCCAAAAAAATAAAAAAAGAGAGCAAATGCAATCCTAAACTGCATCAACTGCATCAACTGAAGTAAAGTCTAAAGTTTAAAAGAAGTGATTTCTCCTCTCTATTCTGAACTGGTCAAATGACACATAGAATTCTGCCTACAGTTCTGGGAACTGTATTTTAGGAAGTAGATTTGCAAACTGGAGTGTGTCTAGAAGAGAAAGTTCAAGGTGGTAAGGAATCTTGATGGGAATACTTAGGAAAAGACATTGGACATGTTCAGCTTGGAGCACAGGGAAGACTTCAGGGGGACATTTTAGCTGTCTGAGTATCATGAAGACGAGGGGCAGAGTTATTCCATTATTCAATTACATAAAAGTAACTTTGGTAGGAGTAAGTTTTAAACTGTAAAATCTGTTCAACACTGGAACAGATTACCCCAGGGAATGGTGGATTCTCATAAGGTATGTTTATGAGTGGTCATCTCTAAGATGTAGTACTGGCCGGAAACTAGATAATCTCCTTTCTAATCCTTTCATTGTATGATTCGATGGTTTCTCACAGCATGTCACTGTTTGGGGAACAACTACTCTGATGTTTCCCTTTAGCAGTTATAGGTCAATTTCACCAAGCCCCTAGTGTTCCATCAGGTCAACTTTTAAAAAGCAAGACAATGACTTACAGAAAATAAATATTTTTAAAGGAACATGTTTTTAAACAGGAACTTAAATTATTTAAGTTATGTTTAAAGTTCTTAAGCAAAAAAAAAAAAGATTTTTACCAGTTCCAAACTGTTTGTTGCTTATTGTAAATAAGTATGAAAAAGATGGGATGCCTCTACATATCATATTTATTTGTTTATTAATTCAATTGAGGTATCATTTGACTCCAGCTGATTCTGGGCAGCTCACAATGTATTACCATAGAAATCCAATACATATTAAAACAAAATGGGATGGAGGTACACACATACACACTAAGGGGCAGTTTGTAGACCAAGTGATCTGTAATCAATAATTAGCTTAGTGACATTTAAGATAAAGGATGAAACTGCATCAGTTGCTTCTCTTAGTACTCTTTCCAAGTAGTTTTGCAAAACAATACAAGGGATAAATTTATGCAGGTGGTAAATTCTGCCTGTACTGCCTCAGCAAAGGGATATAAAATTATGCTCAAACACGTTATACTTCTCTGGCTACTTTGAAATTGAGTTTTTCAGATAGCAATACATCTGCATGTTGCTCAGTATAATGCTGATAGAAGAAGGTACACACTATATAAGAGAAATCAAGCTGGAAAGCTTTCTAACTGAACTGTAGAACTGATAACAGAAATATGAATTTAATCTAGATCTGATCTTTTGATACTGATGTATGTAATTGATAACACAATGGATGAAGTGTTGAAACATGACAAGAATAATAGGAGTAAATGAATGTTTTTGAAATGATACGCTTTCCTTAAAGGACTGTGCCTTAGGAAAATATTAATTTTTATTTTTAAACTACATTAGGAGTATAAAATACGCAACATATGAACATGTGTGGCCAGATGGAAGATTGAGTATAACTCTATTGCATCAGAATAGATGGGGCCAAGAATTTGGACTTCCTGTTTTTGCAAGGCTTAATGTATCTATTTTATCTCTAATCATCCTCCGCAGAAGAAACGAAAATAGCTTGGGTGCCATTTATTTTGGCAGCCTTTCCCTTCCACTTGTTTTTCTGTTAAAAAAGGAAAATCTGCATGTTTTCTCTTCAGCAGAATTTCACCATCTTTGCATCTTCTATTGATAAAGAAAAAAAATGCAACAAGAGGAACAGTAGAGAGCTCCATTACAAAAACTCTTCTTGAGGGAAAACAGCAGTTCAAATATGTGAAAAATAAATAAAACAAAATGCTAAAATAAAAAAGCCCACATAAAATAAAGTTAAGAAAAAAACTTGGAATTTACACACTCGGTTAACTTTGACATAAATCTGGAAGATAGATTTATCGAATTTGGTTGAGAAGAAGAAAGATGAAAGACAACTTAGAAAAATGTAAAGAATATTATCATCCTCTTTCTCTCTCTCTCTCTCTCTCTCTCCCTCCCTCCCTCCCTTTCTCTTTCCCCACTCCACTGGAAATGAAGTCTTTACAAAAATTTTCTTGCCCCAGCATAGGAACATGGCCTCAGTCAGCTTTAATAATGTAGAAAACAATCTGCAGAGTTCTGATCATAACTTCAGGAACTGAAAAGATAAACAAATCAGGCTTACCTCAGCTTTGTTCTGCTTCTCTTCATATTCACTTTGTTCCTTCTCCATTCCAACCAGTTTGATTTTCAGATCTGAAACTTCAGCCATTAAATCCAATTTCTGAGTTTCTAGCAACGTTCGACTTAATAGTTCCTGTAAAAAGAGAAGATGACTTTTCCAGTTATTCAATTCTAAAATAACAGAAATGGTCTTTTACTGATCCCTTTCTGATTTTAACAATGAATATGCAACATCTACTTTATTATTATTGTTGTTTGTTGTTATTATTACTATTATTGTTATTGTCATTGTTGTTATTGTTGTTATCATGGTTTGTCATACAGTCAGATGTTTAGAGAGGATCTGGCATTTTAGTCCACCCAGCAAGTCCTTCGCAGGACCTAGGATAGGCATGTTTGATGGTGTTTAAAGCTACTGTTACAGGATATAAATTATTCCAAGTAAAGCTGTCTTTTGCAATTGACTGATGGCGATTTTGTCAGTGCTGATGGTGTTTTAAGTGGTGCTCCAGATGTTTTAGAATGGCATCCAGGGTGCCTATTATTATTGGTACTTTTTTTACTTTCTTTTGCCACTGACTCCTATTTGCAGCTCCTTGTATTTTGTTATTTATTAATCTCACTATTACTACTACTACTACCGTAATTATTTTATTATCTAAGAGCTTTAGTATTTCATATATGGTATATGGTTCTTAAGCATGTTTTGAATTATGGAAGCAGTCAAATAAACATGTAGCACCAGTAAATAAAATAACCCATAGCTGTTAGAACATAATAAAAATACCAAAAATAAAGGGTTTGTTCCCCAGGGGTTCATCCAGAATACAGAACAAAATTGTTTTATTCTTGTAAGTTTAGAAAATTATATGTGGGACATTGGATTTTTGAGCAGGAAATAGCAACTGGGGAAAATGTTTGCCCCTATCCCCTCTTTCTTCCCACAAAGATGACTAGGTAGGGTATGTTTCAAAAATACAAAGGAATTATGTGGCCAATGGAGGGAGGGCGTGCTTTCTTACTCAGATGGCTTGTAGTGACAGTTAAAGTAAAAAAAGAACCAGAAAGAAATCTATAAATGATGCCCACTCTACAAATTAATCCTGGGGTGTTGTTTTTTTTTTGAGTGGGATTGTTCTAGGTTAAAACTCCCACAAATTGCTGGGTGGAACAATCTTAAAAAGAACCAGAAGATAAATGTGCACGAAGGATTTCACAAAATCACATGACAGCATACGGAGATACTATTTCTAACAATGTCATGTCACATTTTCCTCACAGCTAGATCTCTGACCCCATCTTTTCTGGAAGTTGGAAAAATGAGCATTAGTATCAACAAAGGAGCACCAAATAAACACTCCCGCCCCCCAAAACCCCCTTGCAAATAATGTGGCATCAAAATGAAATCAGTTGAAATCAATGAAATTTTATCCACAGATGGTAAAGAACCCAGGAAAAGAAATAATGGGTTAAATTATAAGGGAATATATTTTTTTCAGTTGGAGGTCAGAGAAAATATCCTCACTTCACCAGTTGTTCAAAAATAAAATGGTGGCATATTCTCCTTCACTGAAAGTGCTTAAATAGAAATGGTCACATGTCAGTAATGCTCCAGTGGAAGGTTTTTGCCCTGGGCAGAGGTTTGGAACCCATGATCTCCAAGGTCCTCTTCAACCTTTATAATCCATGAGCAGTGATGGGATTCATTTTTTTTTTACTACTGGTTCTGTGGGCGTGGTGTGGCTTGGTGGGTGTGTCTTGGTGGGCGTGGCAGGGGAAGATTACTGCAAAATCCCCATTTCCTCCCCACCCCACTAACCTGCTTTCCAGCTCTGTTCTCCTGTGCAGGACAACAAAAGAAGACCCAGCTGATTAGCTGGAATTCCGGAGGCAGAGAATAGATGGGGGCAGGGACAGTCAGAGGTGGTATTTACTGGTTCTACGAACTACTCAAAATTTCCGCTACCGGTTCTTTAGAACTGGTCAGAACCTGCTGAATACCACCTCTGTCCATGAGTAAATGATTGCTAGCACTGGAACTAAAATTTGTCCTAAATTGAAAAGAGGCCTAATAGTGAACACTTCAAATGTAGCAGAATTAATTTCTGTCTTATACTACAGGTCAATATACAACTCTTTTATTTGCATGAAAGTAATATTAAAATTCTTTCTATTAAAAAAGAAAGAAACAGCTGGATTAATTGAAGACATTCGAGCACTAAAGATAGCAGCAATAGACAAAGTTGTTGATTCCACTCCTTCAAAGTGGAATATCTAAGTAAATATCAAATTTCTGGAAACAAGTAACAGCAATTTTAATTGTCAAGAAAGAGACAATTATTGCAGGATTATCTTGGAGTCAATTGTGGGCAAGTTATTTGCAAAAGTAATTCAATAAATGCTTCAAAAAGGTTGAGAACAACTATCCAAGAATAACAGGACATTTTCTTGCCTGAAAGAAGATGCTGTGACCAAAATACAATGTCAGTTGTTTATGAAACACATCAATATACAGACTTATTCTTGTGTTTACTGATTTTGCAGGAGCATTTGACAGTTTCCATTGGCAATGGTATGAATGGTACTAGTCCAGAAGGTGTTCCTGCTAAAATGTTCCTTGCTTCACATATAAAGTGTATAAAAGATGACACAGTTCCTAATAATGACAAAATGTCCAAAGTCTTCCCGGTATATATTAGTGAAAGCAAGATGGGGTTGCTCTCTCTTGGGATTCAATACTATGGTCAATGCAGTTAAGTGGCAGTCTGCTGTTTGGAAAGGTATCATATTTGGATAAGATGACTTCATCACATATCAAATGTTATTTTTGCAGACAATGAAAAATATGCCTATGAAATCATGCTTGATATAAAAACTCCTGCTTATCTCTATCAATATTGACAAGACCGAAGTATTCACAACCAATGACTCTCAGACAACCACACACTTTGATGAAGCTTACTTGAGAAATTTACATACAGTACTTTGGCTGATTTATCCAAGAATATAAAATAGTTGCCACAATGTCAACAATCAAATTGGCCAGGCTGCTTTAGCCTTCAGAAAGATGTTTCTAGAGAAAAAGCAGCACAATGATTGCTGCCAAAATGTAGTTATCAATAATCAATTATCAATGCACTTAAGACCTTACTTCAAATTGATTTGAAGAAGGTTGAAGTTCTCTAAAAGTTCTGCCTGAGCCTAAATAGTATAGATTTCAATCTATTCAAAAATATAAAATGAAACAATTAAAGAATGGGTCTTCAACCAATTTATGCTAGTTGATAAAATTCAGAAATGTAATGACTGTATGACTCCTGCCAACTTTCTCATCAACATCTCAGGAAATCACACCCGGGGACTGGAAAGTACAAAGATGATCTCCAAAACAACAAAAACAAAACCTACTAGCTGACACATATGGAAGAATTCCCAGGAAACAGGACCATAACAAAACAATAACAAAACAAAAACTGGAGGAATATACTATATGACATCAGCAAACCCACAGTACCTACTGATTACTGTAGATGATTACCAGATATAAACTGAGGATTCTTTTAACATCGAGATCAGATAATGAATGCAAACATAACTGAAAGGTATGCAGCAAAATGTCACAGAAATAGACATGAGGTTTTTGAACACCACATTTGAGAAAGTTATACAAAAACATTGTTCAACGAACAGTATGGAGGCAGTTTTCCACTGGTACTATATTATATATAAATACATCACATTTTAGCTGAACATATGAATGTGCATATAATATACACATCATATTAGAACATCAATACTGTCCTATATATCTATGAACTACAATTATATCCTCTCAACGTTTGTTTTATATTTTTATTTAATCCAGGTTATATTTCAGTGAAGCCATCTTAAATGTGAACCAGATGACACTTGTGGCTCAGAAAATATACTGAACTGAAAATTATTTATCTTTAAGTGGAGCTTAAAGAAATCACCATGGTGCAGTTGTTAACATGTGGAAGTAATTACTTCTATTTTCAAGCAGATGCTTACGTTGACCAATTCGCTAGTGGAATATGGCCCACTTGCTATGTGGAAATTACAGAGTATTCCAGCGGTATGATGCAATTGGAAGGCAGCTTAAATAAATATGGAGTTGTAAGAAGTAAAAGTACAGTTCAGAATTGTTACTTTTAAAGTGAAAATACAATATATGCCATCTGAAGTGTGTAGAAACTCCAATATGAACAATAAAGAACTCAGAGTAGAGCCATAGAAAATAGAATATATATTACTTATAGCATTCTCCTTCCATCTAAACTATTTTTATTTCTATTAATATACATACATTTATTATCAATTAAAACAAGTTTCCAAGAAAAAAAATGGTGTCATTAAAAAAAACAATCTAAGTTGCATGATTGAAAAAGTTATGATTCATATACTCATCAATCACTACAAACATAATTCTATAAATTGGCACCAAATATTATTTTTAAGTTAAGATTGATTTTTAAACTAAGGATCTTCTGTGAGATTATTTGTATTCTATATGATTTATAAGTGTACATTTTCAAACATTCTTGTGAAAAACCTTGAATAAATAAATAAATACTACAGAACAGCAGTAATAATATGGTATATTAAATAGTATAGAAAGTATAGAACAGCAGCATAGATTCATAGTGCAACTGTAAGTTCCAAAACAGTACACTATTTTTGAAATATTTAGTTTATTTAAAACAACAAAATCTGGCAAATGCAGTTTGAAATTGCAACAAAATACCCAACTATCAATTTTTAAGAATATAGGGGACAGAAACAAGGCAAGAAATCATATACTGTAATGGAACAGTCCAAAATAAAACACATGCTTTATTAAAATATATATTATTGAAAGTACAAACTATTCTGTTCTACAGCATCTCTTCATGAAAGAAGTTTAGAAAGAAGCATCCTACCTGTTTTGCAAAATTCAGCAAGAATCACCATTGTATGAAGGCTGCACTTTACAAGAATCGTGTGTCAGCTCAGATGTAGTAGGCATGTAGAAGGGATGGGATACTCTTAACTCAAACAAGCTAAGAATCTGACTGGGTTATTACACAGTAACAGACATTGGCCTGCAGCCTTCCTCTTCACTGTTTAAAGCAT